GAAAGTGCCTAGTTCCCCACATTGTGGCAAGTTGTTTTTTTTTTAAGTTGTTCATGGACCTTTATTTATACATGATGCTGAGAATTGAACCCAATGCCTCACGCATGCTAGGCAAGTGCTCTTCCACTGAGCTACAACACCAGCCCTTGGCAAGTGTTTTAACATAATTTTTGGAACTTGTAAATTAGGTGAAAATGGTTCAGTGAAGTTTGATTTGCATAATGGAAGGCCTTTAAAATTTATTTTCACCAAGTATTGTCTAAAGTTTATCTTTAAATATTTTACATGAAATCATCCAATCTCTTTTACCTTTAAAATTAAATTAAAATTACCTTTAAATTTTTGGACCCACAACACTATTCAGGTGTTCTGATGTGAAACTACAGCTGATGGGGATTTATTTAACCCAAGAGTCAGTATTAGAAAGTCTTATTATTTAACTGGTTGAGCCTTAAAAAAAAAAATCTATGTAGGCACTCAAATGACATAGGCATTTGCTGTTTTCCTCATTTCCTTGTTGAATAGGACTCTTGGGAACCTGAGGGAAGGAAGAAGCCCTCTGGGGTCTAACACCTTCCGATATGTATCTGAATCAGAATAACCCAGTCATTAAGTGGTCAGGCGCTTATCCTCTCTACCCGTCACCTGTAAACTGAGGATGTTCCATTAAAGATAATTGCAATAGCTCCTTGCTGTTCTCAATTCTACACTCCTGCCGTCATTTAGCTGCAGGGTTGGAGAAGAGGCTACCACTGCTGACTCAGCTGTGGGAAGACGGTAGAACTTGCGACAGCAGAAACGCTCCCAAAGAGGAAATTAAAGTGGGAAGGCATTTCAAAATCTAAATATGCGTCTCTATAGATCTGTAGTCCCTTCACTCAGTTTAGGACTCTATATGATATTGAAAGAGATAAGGGAAGCTGGAAAAGCAATGGTGTGATCTAGTAATATACTTTGCAAATAACCTAGGTTAACTGATTCTCCGTGCGAGCTGGAAACATTTCAGAGGAAACGTGCCTGAATCTTGGCAGGTGAAATTAACTCCGCTAAGTCTCTCCGTGCATATGCAGCTCAGGACCCTCTGCCCTCGGTTCTCAGGGGAGAAAAACAAGGGGTGCTGCGGGGTTGTGGGCACTCCCTTGCCCCTATCCCTTCAACTCAATTCTTGGCCAGCACCCTGCAACGGAACTCCCTATCCTGAGGGCTGGACCCTTGCCACTGGGTAGGAACATGTGGTGCGTGACGAGACCACGCCCAGGTGAGAAGCGGCAGGAAGCCGAAGCCAGTGTTCATTGATCACTAGGGGAACTTGAAGTTCCACCCAAAACCAATCAAGTCGCGAAAAGAGGGTTCGTAGACCTGCGGTGGGTGGGGGTTGCGGAATACTCAAAACGGGCCTTGCAGCTGGTGGTAGGAGTGGGAGGTAAATCGCTCTGGTCACCTCCGGAGCGCGGCTCCGCGGTGCCCTCGCCCCCTCCTCAGAGCTCAGAACCAGGAGATGTTGCTCTTTCGTGGTGTCTCCAACCGCGCTTTGGGAAAGCAAAATGAAGCGCAGAGGGGCCGCGCCAGGCGGGTGGCGAGGGATGCAGCCGGTTGCATCCTGCTGCAGCCCCACAGGACTGCAACACCCGGGCCCCGCCCCGGCCCCGCCCTCGGCTCCACCGCCCTCACTTCCGCCCCTCGCAGCTTCCTACCCAGGCAGGGGGCAATGAGTCACGGCCTGGGTGGGAGTGAGGGGCTAAGGAGCCGGAGAGGTGAAGGCGGAGTGCGCCCCGAACCCACGCGGAGCCCCACCCACCGCAGGCCCGGACCCTCACACCTGCCCCGGCGCTCCGAAGGCCTGCCGCCCCGCCCTCTTTGTGCGGAGGGCGTTGTTGCCTGGGCGACGGCCCCGGCCCCGCCCCCGAGGCGCCCCGCCCTGGTCTCCGCGCGGCTGTCGGCCCAGCTGCAGTCCGGGAGCCGCCGCCGCCGGCAGTGGGGCGGGTTTCCCGGGGCCGTCGCTGGGAGCAAAGCTGAGTCTCCCGCGCCTGTGCTTTCGCTTGCCCGCCCCGGCTTGTTCCTCGCCTCGTCGGTCCGCTGGCCGGATCCGGCTGACCAGCTTGCCCTCCGGCTCTTAACCGAGGCACCACTGCCGCCGCGGGGACCCGCCCACCAGACCCTGCTCGGGGCCGCCAGCCAGCCTGTTTAGACTCTGCGGTTGATGACACCTGGCAGAAGGCTACCATGGAGGGGGATGCTTCAGACTCTCTGGTGAGTGAGGGCCTAGGGGCTGCCTCCTCTCGCCCTGGCGGCGGCGCGCGGGGACCCCCGGGGCTTTTTCTGCCCTCCACCCTGAGCCGGGAGTGAGTCTCTCCTCCCGGAGCAGCCTGGGCTGTCGTGTGGTGGCTCCGCTTCCTCATAGCCTGTCCCCACCAGGCACTGGTTTCACCACCCCCGCCCTTTATTAAACACGCTGGGAGGGAAGGACTGGTCATCCCCTGGGCCCCGAGGAGGGCGCGGGTCGGTGATTGCCCACCTGAGCACCTCGGGGAATCCGACTGGGCTCTTTAATGGGATCCAAGCTGGAGAATTCGCTTTAGCGAGGCGGGTGCGTGACCCATCCTCCTTTGTCTGGGAGCGTCTTAGGGCTCCCGCGGACTCTGGCCAGGTGCTGCCGCAGTGAGCGAAGGCTGTTTGGCTTTGCCGGCTCGCGGGGTGGGGCCTGCCAGAACCCTGGCAGCCGTCGAGGTACTAGAGTTTTTGTTTGGAGATTCGTATGTACACTTATTCCGAAGTTTTCCAATGAACCCTTTTGAAGAGCGAATGAGCCTCCACATTACATTTCTTTTTAGATTGTTTCTCCTTCAATAAACAAAAAATGGACAATTAATTTTTCTTTTGTGTAAGAATTATTTTATTGTGATTATAAAGCTAAATTCAAGACAGTGAATGCTTCATGTACAAGAAAAATGGTTAGATCTTCTTCCAATGAGAGGTAGACCTTAATTAAGGGTATTGTTTTATACACAAATGGGGTGTGAAAATCAATTTTGGACATTCAGTACAATATTTTCCTTTGAATTATTGTCGAACTCTTTGTGAAATGAGATAAACTGAATGTTCTGTATCTTTGGTGTGAATTGTAGGTGTGGTATCTCATTTCCAGATTTATTAAAATCCTGACAAATGGGCCTTTATTAAATATTTGACTGATGCAGCAAGAGAACTACAATGAAAGTGATAAAAGCATTTGTCTCTCGTGTTAATAAATCATTAAGGATTGTTAAAATTCTTTGTGACATTTTAAGGAAAATAGTTTAGCATACATTTTTGTTTAAGATAAATTATACTACATGCATATGTAGTATGTCAAAATACACTCTACCATCATGTATATCTAAAAAGAACAAATAAAAAAAAGATGTTAAAAAGGATGGGTGTATTAATTACATTTTAACTCTGTGTATTTCTACTAGTTGAAATCATTGTAAGGTTAAGAGTTGAAATGAGGTTGAGTCCTTTAATGTTGGACATCATTAAAATTGCAGAGATGCTGACTATAGATTCATAACATTTAAAATTCAGGTTACATGAGAAAACACATAGGCCAAGGAAGGGAAAGCAATATGAAGTAATTCAACTTTTTAGTTATAAGAATCTAAAATGTTTCTCATTTAAAATAAAGAAAGGAGGCTGATTCATAGTGAAATAGGGAGCGGGAGCATGGGAGGAATAGACGAACTCTAGAGAGGGCAGAGGTTGGAGGGGAAGGGAGGGGGCATGGGATAATTAATGATGGTGGAATGTGATGATCATAACTATCCAAAGTACATGTTTGAACACACGAATTGGTATGAATATACTATGTATACAACCAGAGATATGAAAAAATGTGCTGTATATATAATAAGAATTGTAATGCATTCTACTGTCATATAAATAAAAAAATTTACAAAAAAAAAAAGAAATAATGAACGTCTATAGTATTGAAATACTTTTAATGGTGCCTTTTAATCCTCTACATCCTTTTAGTATTTATTAAGTGCTTTTATGGTAACGGCTTTGATATATAGCATGAAAGCATCAAGCATTTTAACTGCATTACAGCATATTAAAAATGGTGAAAAAATTGCTGATAATTCCACTTGTAAATAGATTTCAACTAGGATTCTGTGAACATATAGGCTAGCCTAGTTTTTATCAGCTTTTGTTATTTGCCACTCTCAAAACAATGTACCAAGTAAGAATACAATCTGTTCTTAGTGTTATATTTAAACTTCTTTTTTTTTTTTTAAAGGAGAGAGAGAGAGAGAGAGAGAGAGAGAGAGAGAGAATCTTTTTTGTAGATGGACACAACACAATGCCTTTATTTTTATGTGGTGCTGAGAATCGAACCCAGGTCCCACCTGTGCTAATCGAGCGCTCTACCACTGAGCCACAATCCCAGCCCATATTTAAACTTCTTTATTGAAGTAATTTTTTAAGAATATTACCGAGTTCCTAAATCATTGAGTTATTCATGATGATTTGAATGACTTTTTATTTTTTGATAGACTATTATGGTCTCCTGATATTTTATGCCAACTTCTTTTATACTTATATTTCTTTTTGTCTCGTGTCTGATCAGTTTTGCTTTTTCCAGTACTGGGGATTAAGCTTAGGCTGTGGCATGTGTTAGGCAAGTGCTCTACTGTGAGCTACATACCTTGGCCTTTTTATATTTTTATTTTGAAACAGGGTCTTACTACATTTCCCAGGCCAGACTTGAACTTGAACTTCTCCTGCCTCAGCCTCCTTAGTAGGTGGGATTACAGGTGCCTGCCCCCCTTGATTCTGATTTTTGAGCTATGGATATTGGAGGACAGTTGATGGCATAAAATTGGGTAGTCTGAGGGAGCTTCAGATTTTTAAAAATCTCTTAACTTTTTAAAGCATATGCTTTTCTACAAGAGCTATAAGCATGATAAAATGCTGCCTTCTGTGAGCTTTTGACTCTTGATTTTGTTTTATTTTAAGGTGTCTATTAAGAATATCGAAAGAGAGCTCATTTGCCCAGCATGCAAGGAGTTGTTTACCCACCCACTGATTCTCCCTTGTCAACATAGTATCTGTCATAAATGTGTAAAAGAACTCTTATTGACTCTTGATGATTCATTCAATGAAGTGGGATCAGACAACTCCAATCAGAGCAGTCCTCGACTTCGGCTTTCCTCCCCTAGCATGGATAAAATTGACAGAATTAGCAGACCAGGTATGTGGCAGAACCTTGGTTGGGGTTGGGGTGGGGTACTTTCATGTTTAGGAATAACTGTGGAAAGAAAATTGTTTTTATCATTTTAAATGTTAACTTTTTCCAGGTGGATAAACTAAAACTATAATTATAAGAGATTACTCCCAGTTAAAATATGAAAATGAATTCTTGTTTTTTGATATGCCCTTAAAGCATATATTGGATATTGAACCCTATCTTTGTGATAAACCTCTTATTAACTGTGTCTATATTTAGGGGATATTCTGACCCTATAGTGTCTTTGATATGATAAAACATTGGATTAGTGATATACTTACCAGAGAAATATCCATATGTGTAATACCCAAATAAATACTGCAGAATTAGAAATGGAACTACATAAAGGCAAGTCCTAGAAAACTTTATTTATAGACAAATTATTTGATATCATTTGAGAATTTTCTTTAACCATTCTTAATCCATTTTAAAAATAAGAATTTTGAACATCACAAACAGCAGAATTCTGTAATAATGTATAAAGTAGATCTGATTTAATATAGAGCACATATACTATTACTTTTATCATATTACCAACATGTAAATTGTTTCCTGTTGATGTAGTGTTACTTTTTCTTAGGTAGCTATTACAGGATTAACTTATTACAAAGTAACTTAAAAATCACTGGAGTTGCTGAAATTCTTTTTTGTGGGGGGCGGGTACTGGGGATTGAACTCAGGGGTATTCTACCACTGAGCCACATCCCCAGCTTTATTTTGTATTTTATTTAGAGACAGGGTCTCACTGAGTTCCTTAGTGCCTTGCTTTTGCTGAGACTGGCTTTAAACTCATATTCCTTCTGTCTCAGCCCCCTAAGCTAGGATTTTGACTGGGATTACAGGCATGTGCCATTGTACCCGGCTAATGCTGAAATTCTTAGTACACAAAATTCTTGGTACTGAGGTCTGAGGTGGGTAAAAAATATGTTCTTGGTAGTATTTAAATGGCCATAAATTTCAGATCTCAGAGCTTCAGCTCTGTCCAGTTTGAGCTTTGAGATTTTAAATTTAATCCTTCTGTCAGTTTCTTTCTCTTATAGTATTAGGAGTAACTTTTTAATGATGTAAACTTTTTTCTTTTCCCCAGAGAAGGACGTCTTTCTCTAAGTCGCATATGTTAAAATTTTAGGTCACAAGCATAATAAACACAGAACAATTTTTCACTTTACCTTTTTGGTATAGAAATATTGTATAAATAGAAATATCATATATATATATATATATTGCAAAATATTGTATTGTACAATACAATATAGATGCATTTTCCTATTAGCTTAACCATTATAGGAAAACCAGCAGCCAGTTGATTCTAGACCTTCCTGTTGGAGACAGTGGGCCGTGGCTAGGATTAGAATGCTTGCCTTGTCAAAGAGGGCAGAAGCTGCTTGGCACCAAATGAATTTGTGGAATTGAGGGCACCAGTTGTCAGATTTACTATTTTGTCACAAACCTGGTAATGGTTTTTAAGTGAAAACATTGGCAGTTAATTCAAATTATTTAAGAATATTGTGCCAGCTCAACATAGTGCAGGACTGCTAAAACATGTCTTTGGCTCTGACTCCTCCAGCTTTTGTAGGTCATCAATGTATGCAGTCTTTATTTTAAATAATGTATGGGTGACCAATATCTGCTAGTATTGTAGAGGGGGATTCTGCTTCGAGCAGTGTGCTGAGCAAGTTCTGTCAACTGCCCGATTTCTCTAGCACTGAAGTTCTTTGCCTTATTGAATACCAGCTATATTCATTCAGTCAACAAATACTTTGAGTGCTCACTGGTTACCAGGTAAGACTAAATGCTGAAGAGGTAAATAAAATAGACCTATATTATGAAAAAGTGTACAAAGGTTCATAAAGGATACCAGATTTAGAGTATAATTCTTTGTCAAGCACTCATACTGAGTAATTGAATAGATAAACTAGAGGACCCAAAGGGCGAGAATGCCTCAAATATGATAATCATTCCTGAAAGTTTGTATCGATGAATATAAATTTTAGGATTGTCCTCCACATGATCACATGATCATTAGGTTTAAACTAATAGAACTCATTCTATTACAGATGTAATGTTACTTATCTTCTGTTTGGACATTTGCCTGTAGTATTTTTTTGGACAGATTTATGGATTCATGGTTCAGTAATATCACTGCCCATCTTTTTTTCTGACAGGGTTTTTCTTTGTTTTTATCAGTTATACATACTTGAGAAGGAAAACAGAAACATTATTCACAGGTATCAGAAGGGGAAGAATAGAATTCTAAAAGTTACTTTTGCCGTTGGTTTAATAAAGAATTAGATTTGTGCTGTCCCATGTAGTAGCCATTAGCAACATGCAACTGTTGAGTGATTGAAATGTGGTTAGTCTGAAGTGAGATGTGCTGTAAGTATAAAATGAATTTTAAAGACTTAGGGTAAAAAAACATTAAAATATTTATATTGATTACATTTTGAAATGACAGTACTTTGAATATAGTGAGTTAAATAACATGTTATCAAAATTAATTACACTTGTTTCTTAATTTTTTTATGTGGCAACTGAAAAATTTAAAATCACATATATTTTAACTTTGGCTCCTGTATTTCATTTGGATAATGTTGCCTTAGACGTTTGATAGAGCTTTTTAGATAAAAGAGTTCCTTAAAAGGAGAGTAAAATTTATGTGTATAACATAATTGCATATTTTATAAAAAGAGCTATATTGTCTCATGCTTCTGATCATATATGTACAAGTTTTCTCTTTTTTAATTTTCCTGAAATAAAAAATGGAAAAAATATATTCAGTGCTAATAATGTTTATTTACAGAAAAAGATACCCAGTTTTAGTAATATTTGGGTCAGTAAAAGACAAACTTGAGAATTTGATTTACCTTTTTTTCTAACAGTTACCAGAAATAGGATTGTTTAAAAACATAAATGTATAGAACAAAGTATAGGTCCCTTAAGCACTGCACCAACAATGATGAATTCTGAATTCCAATAACTTGAATGTTTAAATACCATGTGTACTGGGAAAAACACATTTTTACTGTTAATTCAATAATTGTATTATGTACAGGACACAGTTACTGCTTTATCTTTTGTTAACAAGTTGTGAATCTTCTCTTTGAAATTAAATTCTAAATCCAGCTTTCTGTTCATTGTTCACAGCTTCACAACGGAGATCTTTGGGGTGGAGAGGTAGAAAATGCTTTATTGCTTTTGTGGCCAAAGGCAGTATAGTGTTAAATTTAGATTATGTTATCTTGTGTATATATAAGGTTATTTAACATCAGTGGTCAAGTCTTCAAAATTATGTAGAAAATGAACAAATTGTGCTGAAACGACTTAAAGGTCAACATGACTAAAATTTCAAGCAAGTTCTGATGTTTTGAAGGGGGGAACACTGATTATTAGTGCTTGCATTTTGTCAGTATGCATGCAACACCTTTTTGAAGAAAATGATAAGTATTCCTTTTGCTTGTTCTTTTAAAAAATATATGGCACCTGAAAATTTCTTACATTTACTTAGTGGAACAAAGCTTAATATAGGAACATTGGGGAGACTAAATAAGCCAGTACTTTCTCATGTATTGGAAATTTTGATTACTTTGTTGATTATTTTTGCAGTTAATAACAATTGTTGCTTTTTTATGAATATGATGTCTTTTTATGTTTAAAGTATTGGCACCAGAGTTTTAACACCTGAGGTCTTAACCACTTGAGGTAGATAATGTACCCTCCTTTTTTTAGGCTTTCTGAAGTATTCTGTGTGAAAGATGGACCAACCTATCAAAAAAAAAAAAAAATTTTTTTTTTTTTTAAACTCTAGTTGACCTTTAAAGTAAAACGGACTACTTTTCTTGTGTAATGCTGGTGGTACCCTCTTGCTCTTTGGAGAATAAGAAAGACCTGAAATGTTATCCCTTTTCTGTTTTTCTTGCCTTCTTTTGCATCTGTTGTAAAGTTTTATAGCCATTCTTCAGTGAGGATTTAGTAAGTCTAAGACCATTTTAAATGTTGAAAATTAGTAACTAGAAGGAGAGAAATAGTTTTCCTAAAATAATTTTTTTCTTTGTTTTTTATTTTTGTTTTGGTACTAGGGATTGAACCTAGGGGAACTTTATCACTGAGCTCTATATCCCCAGTCCTTTATTTAATTTTGAGACAGGATCTCACTAAATTGCTGGGGGTTTTGCTAAGTTGCTGAGGCTGGCCTCAAACTTGTGATCCTCCTGCCTCTGCCTCCTTACTTGCTGGGATTATAGGTCACCACTGTACCTAGCTTAAAATAAGTTTATTTCTTATTACCTTTTTGATTCAGAAGGTAGCTGAGAAAAATAGTTTTTGCAAGTTGAAGAATTCTAATATAATATTCAAAGAGTAAAGGTAATCATGGACATCAGATGGTCAGTATATGCCAAAAGAAACATTAATGTGGCAGTGTAAGGTATCAGCTCATTGCCAGACACCAGAAGCCCAACATGAATGCCTGGTGTGGGGAGTGGTAGTATACCAGTTGTTGGCTAGGTGTAATAGTGGGGAAGTTATATGCAGCCAGACTGTGGAAGAGGATGGTAACTAGCAGAAGTTTGGAACTTTTATTAATTGACTCTTTTTCTTTTGAAATACTTTATTTTCTCTTTGGTATTTAAATGGTAAAATATATGACTGAAAGTTGACTGTTTGGGAGAACTTGCTATAAATCAGTTTGCTTACATTTAATCAGTCTTTGAAGTGAAGATATATATACAAGGAAAAGAATAAATTTTGCAAATTGATAGTATTAATATAATTTGCAAAAATTGACTATTGCTTGGCCTCCAATACTTCCTTCCCATTGCAAGCCATCATTAGTTTTCTTTTTCATTATATCATGCAATAAAGCAATATTGTAGTAGTGAGAATTGTCATTGTTTGGTTTCTTGATTTGGAAATCAAGAACATATCTTTTTATGATAATGGAAATGTTCAGATTTGCACCATGCAATCTGGTAGCCGCTAGCCCCTAGTGCTCTTGCATATTCAAGCTGCAACTTGTGCAGCCAGAGAACTGAATTTTAAATTTTATTTAACTGAATTTAGATATCCACATTGGTTAATTACTATATAGCTATAGAAAGTTGAAAGTTGACTGTATGACATTGTATTCTTAGTTCCACTGTTTTAATTTTTTCATTAGGTTTACCTCCCCAGAATACCCTTGAATCTGTCCTGTTTAATTTTTTGCCCTAAACATATATTGCTTTTATCAAAACAGTGGTAGAAGTATAGGACAGATGAAATAAAATGTAAGTTTTGCAGCATTCATGAGAAAAAATTGAGAGCTTTCAAGATCTATATAGAAAAATAGCCAACATTTCTATTCAAATAAGTTAGGTTAAAAATACTCATGCCTTGATTTAACATTTTACCTGATTTAAGAAGTTCAATGTGATGCTTTACCCTTTCTTTTTGACTGCAAAAGTAAGTTAACAGGTATACAGAAAAGGGATGAAACATCTTTTTTGAAATTTCTAAACACGAAGACCAAAAATCTGAGTATCACCAGTAGTGTACATGTTAAAGCATGATTTTATTGTCATGATTTAATTTTGTTTTATCTCATTAATTGATCACAACCTTCATAAAACCAATAATAGCCTTCTTGTAAAAATAAAAATATTGACTATTGAGATAATTTATCCATTCATTTAAATTCCCATCACTTTCCTCATGTGTGGAAGCATGCAATTAATTGTGAATTTACATTTGTTAAAACTTGACCACTGCACTATACCTCTTCCAGAGTTGTTCAGTTTGTTTTTTAATTAAATGAAATTTTCATCAGCATGTGTTTTAAAAACAGCTTTGCTGCTTATTTCATTATATGCCTGCTGTGGTGTGAAACATCCTGGACTGAATTGCATGTTCTTAAAATTATTATAAGAAAATATATTTGGGTGGAAATTTCAAATTTTTATGAGATATAAAATGCATATGTTTTCATATGCATTAAAGTTAAAATATCATTAGAGATATTAAAATATTCTGCATGTTTGTTTTATAAGTAGATTTGGGGGGCCTAATGCCATTTTAGCATGGTAGTAAGTCACTTCAAATAAGTATTATTGTGGGCTGATTGTTATATTTTACCTATAGTGCTCTCATGCCAGGCATCAAGAGAGTGAGCATAATCATGTGCAAAGGCAGTATTAATGTAGACATTAAATACGATAGACTGAGTTTAACCATTCATTTTCGGTATTAGATACATTGTAGTGTATAAAAGGATGCTGTAAATTATGAAGTTTATGTTTATATTAAGTGAGTTATTTTGTGGTCAATCAAGCTTACATACTTTAAAGAATAGGCTTTTAAATGAGAGGAAGGAATGTGGTGTGCATGCACTGATGTTCAGTGGACAACTGGATTTATGGGACCTAATTGGCGGTGAGAATTGTCATTGTTTGGTTTCTTGATTTTTTAAAAAATCAGGATGATAATATTAAACAAAATATGTTGTTTTATATTATAAAATTATTTGTAATATAACCCTTATATTTATAACAAATAAGTAATTTAATGATTCTTTGTTTCAGGTTATAAGAAGATAATAAATGGTTGGTTCCTCTTAAAGTTACTAAATTCTAGGTCTATGAATGAGTTTTTTACTCTTCTATAGATTGCACTCACTTAACCTAATGATATTGCCTAATGACTTTTTCTAGATAAAACAATACTACAGTGGGAAACCTTCTATTGTAGTGGTTCCTAAATTTTTGTGATCCATATATTCCTTTGAGAATAAAATAAAATTAGATTGTTCATATAAAATATGTATAAATAAATAGATGGGTGGAAAATTTTGTGCATGGTATCAAAGAGTTTGTGGATCTGCCTGGAGATTTTCCATGGGCCTTAGCTTAAAGACCTGTGCTCTTTTTTGCATCCACCCATTTCCTCTCAGCTAAGACTGTGTTCATTTAAATGCCTTTGGATATAGTATATAAAAGTAACTATATAAATGTCAATTATGTAATTTCAAAAGATCCTCCTCCCATGTAGTATTGTATTATATGTTTTATCTTTATACCTGTATTTGTTTTAATATGGGTTTTATATGGGATTTACTGTATTTTCTTTTTCTCTTTGATCTGATAGCTATTTAAAAAGTTGAGCTTGTATTTTGCATATCAAATAAAAATAGTTTTTAGAAAAGAATGCAAATCAACTCAAATGGAACCGTTTGGGGTATTATGCTTTTGGAATAGATTTGTAGATACATCTTTCTAAAACGTGACTCCTCTTTTCTTCATTTCAATCATTTTGCTACTGATTTAACTAAACAAGGATTCACTAATTATACAGGCTGGAAGCGCAATTCATTGACCCCTAAGACAACTACTTTCCCTTGCCCTGGCTGTGAACATAATGTGGATCTTGGAGAACGAGGAATCAATGGTCTGTTTCGAAATTTCACTTTGGAAACTATTGTCGAGAGATACCGGCAGGCAGCTAGGGCAGCCACAGCCATTATGTGTGACCTTTGTAAACCACCACCTCAAGAATCCACCAAAAGTTGCATGGATTGTAGTGCAAGCTACTGCAATGAATGCTTCAAAATTTATCATCCTTGGGGAACTGTAAAAGCTCAGCATGAGTATGTGGGTCCCACCACTAACTTTAGACCCAAGGTAAGTTAGAATGTTATAAAATATTTAATGTTATAAATTTAATGTTATAAAAATATTATGAGGACTGGGATTGTGGCGCAGTGGTCAAGCACTTGCCTGGCATGTGTGAGGCCTTGGGTTCCATCCTCAGCACCACATATAAATAAATGAAGTAAAAAAGCCATTGGCAACCAAAAAATATTAAAGAAAAAAAAGGTTGAGTCTGGAACTTGACAGAAAGAAAGTAACATTAAAAGGAATAGTACAAGAATCTAAGACCCAGTCCACTTATTTGGAGTTATGTAGTATGGGGCTAAAAATCTCCCTCTTAGAAGGCCAACCTTTAGATAAACTTGGGTTTCATTCTATTAGAATCCAGTGTAATCCAATACAATAAGTGAATCTTCATACTGATAACTCTGAGTAATAGGGGAAAGATATCTCTCTGATTGGAATGTTTTAGAAAGCTTTTATGCTTTAGTGTGATAAACTCAAAATTGCCCATAAGTTTTGGTTTGGAAACACATTTTTTTTTCTGATATTGGTAGTTAGCTTAAATTGTACTATGAGTAAAGGGCAATTGCAGCTTGATATTCTCAATATTCTGAAATTTAAAATATCTCAGGTAGAATATGCATTGTCTTAAACATTCTGGATAATTTGTTTAATAATGCTCACAAGAACCTTGTGATTTATCGTATGTTCTGCTATGTGACTATGTGACTGAAAAGCAGAATGGTTTTTGGATATCTTCATTTTCTGATTTATATAGATTTAAAAAAAACTTTAATTTGATTTTTTTTGGGGGGGGGTACCTGGGATTGAACTCAGGGACACTCTACCACTGAGCCATATCCCCAGCCCTATTTTGTATTTTATTTAGAGACATGGTCTCACTGAGTTGCTTAGTGTCTTGCTTTTGCTGAGGCTGGCATTGAATTTGTGATCCTCCTGCCTCAGCTTTTTAAGCTGCTGGGATTACAGGCGTGTGCCACCACACCCAGCTATAATTGATTGTTTTAAAAAATTTCTTACAGCATAGTAACTTGTAAGAATATGAAAGTATAATTCCATTCTTAAGTGTAAGGCCTTCAATTTGTGTTAAAAAAGGGAAAAATCTCCAAAGTTATATGGAAACTATGAATTGTTTCTTTTTTTTTTTTTTTTTAAGAGAGGGAGAGAATTTTTTAATATTTATTGTTTAGTTCTCGGCGGACACAACATCTTTGTTTGTATGTGGTGCTGAGGATCGAACCCGGGCCACACGCATGCCAGGCGAGCGCACTACCACTTGAGCCACATCCCCAACCCCTGAACTGTTTCTTAAATAGTGTAGGACTGGTAGAGTAAAGCAATAACAATCTACGCTTCCACATTTTGAATGACTCTTCTCAAACTTTCTCATTTGGCAATAGATTTATTAAATAGCTTTTTGTGTTCTTTATCTCATTTTAAACACTCAAGGTCATTGATTTTTAAAGATTTTTCAGTTCAACCTGGTGTTTTAATATTTCTTTTAAAAGATTAATTAAATCAGTTAATCTATTCTATCATAAAAGGACCTATGATTATTAAATTAATTGTATTTAGCTTGAGTTTTTGTGAGTTAAGGATTTCATTGTTTTGAGCATAAACTACATTTACCATATGCTGAAAGATTGATAAGAACCAGAGAAATATAAGTAAAGTTATATTGAAAAAAAGTATTTTTTCCCTTAGTAAGTGTATAATTTAATATAGTATAATTCTAAAAGGGGATGCATTGTGCTATAGAATATTTGCATTTAACTTTCAGGGTTTTTTCCCATATTTTTAGTTATAAATGGACACAATACCTTTATTTTATATGTGGTGCTGAGGATTGAACCCAGTGCCCCACATATGCTAGCTACCACTGAGCCACAACCCCAGTCCCAACTTTCAGGGTTTTTTTTTTATCATTTCTTATAGAAAGCCAAACTTTGTATTTTACTTCATGTGTAATGATTTTTGAGAATGTAGGAATTTGAATATTCTGAAAAGTTTTGAGATATTTTCTACTGTTTTTTTCTCCTGAATCTATATCAGTATTAACGTTTTCCATATTGTACTTTTTTTTTTTAACTTGTAAGTTATCGGACCAATTTTCGTTTGCTAAAATCCAGTCTGTTGGAACCATAAACAACTTTTTAATTTCATTTACATACTAAAAATACCCCCTTGTTTGAAATGAAAACAATTATTTTACATAAAATTTCAAAAGTATAATGATAAATTACAAAATAAATAAAAATGTAGAAATGTGTAGAAAACACAGTTGGTCAGTGTGATTGTAATTGGTTTATAAAAGCTAACACATTGGAAGATTACATCATAATGTGTTCCAAGATTCTCTTAGCAACAGACTTTTTGTAGGAGTGGTCAGGCTATAGATTCTCATAAGTTGTTCTGGTGTCTTATAGAAATATCCATCAAGGTCATTAAGAATTGCCTTGTCTGTGTGGTTGGAGGGCCTTTTAAGCTTGGTTAATCTTTCTGCTAGGAGTGAAACTTTCATTTTCTTATCACCACATTTAAGAGAAAAAAAATCTCTATATTTAAACTGAAAAATGGTAATTTAAATACAGAAATTTTTTATTTTTTAATATTTTTATTCAGTAAGTGAATATTTACTGATTTTATAACACAAATGTTTATATTTTGGGACTTCATTAGATTACTGAAACCTAGATGCTTAATCATAGTTTATTCCTTACTCAATAGATTTTAATGTGCCCAGAACATGAAACGGAGAGAATAAACATGTACTGTGAATTATGTAGGAGGCCAGTTTGTCATCTCTGTAAGTTGGGTGGTAATCATTCCAACCACCGTGTAACCACTATGAGCACTGCCTACAAAACCTTAAAGGTAGGACTTGTTTGTTGTTTTGGAACTGAATTTTGATTCTTTGTAACTTTACCTTAAGCCTTTAAGTTTTTATTTATGAAATTATGGCTTGCAAAGTGAGCCATTTTACAGAAATGAGTTAACAATGTAAAGTATTACTTAATAATCTACTGATTGAATTACTTCCTATTAACTTTATACATGAACCTTATAAAAACTTGTAAAGTTTGATTAGTAACAAAGTAAGCAGTGGTGTAGCCTCCTTTTTTATTTCTTTTTTTCTGTTAAGCAATATATTAAAGAGGAATTAATTCATCTATGAAACTACCACTCATTTTAATTATCACCTGTTTTTTTTTAATATCATTATTATTTATTTTTTTAATGTGGTGCTGAGGATCAAACCCAGGGCCTCACGTGAGGCAAGCACTCTACCACTGAGCTACAGCCTCAGCCCCTTATCGCCTGTTTTTAACACTATGTATATATATTTTTTGGTCTATATCTAATTGCATATATACACAGTTTTATACTTTGTGTTTTATACCTATATCACACTTAGTATTCCCTCTGTTGTCTTTGAACTTGTAGAAAACAAGTATACTTATTTTAATTCTTCTTGTCTACTAATTCTCTCACCTTTGTTATGTCTAGGTTTGTTTTAATTGATTTTTCTCATTATTCTTCATATTTCCCTTTGATTACCTAGTAATTTTTATTGGCTGCCATGTATTGTAAATTTTACCTTGGTGTTGGATCTTTCTGTATTCTTAAAATAGTCCTTGCGTGTGTGTGTGTGTGTGTGTGTGTATGGTGGGGGGATGCTGGGGGTGGCCTAGAACATGCTAGTCAAGTGCTTTACCACTGAGCTACATTCCCAGCCTCAAATATTCTTGAATTCTTATTGGGTATGTGATTAAGTTACTTGGAAACTTGCTGTTAAACCTTGTTAGGCAGGACAGAATGGCATTTCGTTCGAAGGCTAATTTTACATGGTTATAGAGGGTAAAACACTTTGGTTACCCTTTCTGATGGCCTATAATTTTGAAGGTTTTTAAGTTTAACTATTTTGTCTGGGTGGTGGGGAACAAGCACTACTCCCAGCCTTATGTGAGTTCCTGGAATTGTTCCCTCTTTGATCCTTTGGGTCATATTTTCCTTGTCCCCTGGTAATATCTTCATACATGAGTTGATAGATACTGTTTTGTACATTTCTTTACAGCTATCTCTTCTTCAGTATTAAGCCTTACAGACATGGGCTTCCTGTACTTCCAGCTCCATCTACATTCATGGGAGTCCCTGGTCCCCTTTTGAGTTCTCTTCTGTACTAGGCCTTAGAAACCTCCAGAAAGTAAGCTAGGGCAATTGTGGGCTCGTCTTTGTGACCATCTTTCAAGGAAAGGTTTTTCTTTGTTTTTGTCCAGTGTATTGAGCGCTGTTTTATATTTTGTTAGGTTGTTTCAAGTGGTAGAGTAAATCCATTTTTTGTCACTTTGCCTCCATAGCTTTCCCCACATATTACTATCTGTAATTAAATTTAACACCTTTTTAAAGGTTTCAATTTCTTGTTTTAACCTTACACAAGCTGTTCAAATTTTTTTCTATTACCTGGAATCAGTCTTTAATAATAGCATACACTTAAGCTATTATGTTAGAGCAAACTGTGTTTCTCCTCTGTTTTCTGGTCAGAGGTGGGTTTTCTAAACTTTTCACACAGAGTTTGAAATTAAAGAACACAGAGGCTCATTTCAGTTTTCTCATTACAGAGAGTTGGTTGGCTCATCTTTACTTTACTCTCTCTACAGCTATATCTGCAATAGGTAATGGACATTTTACAGAAGAATGTTTCCTGAGGAATTTTTGCTAGTTTTGTTTCCCATTGATTTATTTCCTTTCATTTCTAAAGGAGGAGTTTAAGAATCTTGTTCCTGTACTACCATCTCTTCTGGTTTTGATTTTAGAGAAGTTATTAACAAAGAGGACCTAGAAAAGTAAAAAATGCAAACATCCTTGCAAATAGTCCTCATTGAATCAGGAAGTAAATAATACTGCATTTGTGTTTTAGGGTATTTTATTTATACTGTTTTTGTGAAATTTGTGGTGAATAGTATTGTTTTCTGAAATAGCTTTGGCACTTGACTAATTGTATCATTGTATACTCTTTCTTCCTACCATTTTGTTTTGAACCTTTTCAGAGGTAGAGCAAAGCCATCATCTTTAAAATTGTAGAGCTGAGAGCAGGGACCATCCTAGTTATGTATCGTTTCTACATAAAGATATTCATTGTGAGTATTGAATGACTTCCCCTTCCTCTCGTCCTTCTTTGTTTCTTGTCTCTAATGTTTCTATAGTACCTTTCATTAAGGACGTGATTCAAAGAGGAAAAGAGTGGCTCTCAAACTTTTGGGAGTGTTAGCCTCACCTGGGGCACCTGGTTACAACTACAGAGGCCAACTCTGTACACTTCAAGGGCCTTAGGCCTCTATGTTCTTTAATCGTGCTCAGGAGACTCAGATTTGAACCACTGTTCAGAGGAAAGCTTCTGAGAAATTGTGAGTCCTAGAGAAATTAGCCTCCGACCAATTCCTGGAGAACTGGAATGTGGAGTTGTTAAAAATTACTTCCACTCTTGGGTAAGCTTCCTGCCTTGCCATTTTACATTTTACTTTTGTTGTCAATGTCTGATTCTTTGTTTGGAGGCCTATGAATAAATGATATATAACATACTGATTCTTGGTTTAATACAGTCTGCCTAGGTCTGAGGGCATTAAAAAAGAGTAAGGCTATCTCAGAGAAAGGATGTAATTGGCTGTAGACTTTTTCTAAGCCTTAAAACTCAGTGGGTGTGAATGATGGTGCTCTGAGACTGTGTTTCTGAATTTTATCATCTATTCTTGTCTGGTCCTTACATCTTTGGAAGAATCAACATTTGTTAGCCCAATTAACTTATCTTAGTCTTCTTGTAATTTAGGCTGTCTTAGAACTTAGCCTCACTTGGATTTACATGACCAAATTCAGCTCTTTGCCATTAAAGTTGAAGAAAAAAATGAGTACCATCCACCAGTACTTAGTACTTCTGGTCCCAGCCTGGGCCCAACAGGGACAGTATTAGAAGAACTGCTATTTGACTTGCAGCTTGGTGCTGGAGAAATGCCCCTCAGCCCATGGAATAGTGATTGGTGTCCTATGCAGTAAGGGGGTTTCTAGTTCAGTTATTGATTGTATGATGTGCTTTTATGAGCTTTTGTTTCCTCATCTGTAAAATCCTGGGTTAAAACATAAGAATTTATGTATTTTCTTAAATCCAATAATTTCTGGTCTCGTTCTTTCTTTAATGGCCAGAAATCTTGTTCCTTTGCTTAACAGGTCAGGTCCTCCTTCTCTCCAGTGAGCCATTAAGGACACTCACTGTGTCTAATTCCTCTGAAATAGAGATATGGGTCCTGCAGAACTCGTCACTTTTATTTTTGTATACGTTCTCTTTCCTTGTTATGTGGTCTAAGGAAAAAAAAAAAGAGGAAGATGCTGGGGTAGGAGACTCACTTCTTCAATTGCTAAAAGTGATCTGTCCCTCTTCCTTTCTTGCCTACTCTTCCCATTTCAGATCATCAGCAGTGACTGAGACACTGAATTGCTCAAATCCTGTCAGGCCAGCAGCTTGTGAGATGTTTCCTGGTTGTACTTATTGTTTTTCAGACTTCGAAAACTTTACCCAACTTTTTATGCTCTGGTGCTTTCAGGGCTTTTTTTTTTTTTAAAAGATATACTTAAGATATAATGCATAGTATCTTTTTTAGGCTAGACTAGGGAACACACCAAAATCTATGGTGTTATTTCTATGGAAAGTGATAGACTCCCTTGTAACTAATTATTCAGTAAACTTTGGGAATTGACTATTTTAAAAATAAATCTGTATTTTCATTATTGTGTAATTATTTAATGAATATGTAGGCTGGGTTAGGCTAGGAAGATTACTTTGAATTGTTATTTATTGCTTTTTCCATTATGGATGGGTGGGTGTGAGTAAATTATTAAATCTGATGGAAAACAAGACTGAATTTCTGCCCTTCCATTTACTTAGAGACCTTAGGAGGAAGAGTTCTGGGATTGCTAATGAAACAACAAAAATGTACTATTTGTATATTTAGAACTTTTAAAATTATGTTTAGAATTTTTGAATAAGTATCACTTTTATTTTTTCCAACTTGATTTTTTTTTTTTTTTTTGTGGTGATACTAGGGATACTCTGCTTTTGAGCTACATGCTACATCCTAGCCCTTTTTATTTTGAGACAAGGTTCTGCTACATTGTCCAGGCTGGCCTTGAACTTGTGATCCTTCTGTCTCAGCCTACTGAGCAGTTGAGATTAGAGGTGTGTGCCACCATGTTTGCTTCCAACCTGATTTTAATCTTCCCCGTATCATTGGGCCTCTTTGCTTAAAGGCTAGTAACTATTTACCTTGGGTTCATAAGGATTACCACCAGATGACTGATTTTACCATCTGTTCATCATAGAGGATGAATACTGTTTAATTTTTAAAAATTCTGCAATGCCTTTGGTAAGCTTGTTTTTGTACATTTATGTTATGAATATGTTTCAACAGGAAAAACTTTCAAAGGATATTGATTACCTTATTGGTAAGGAGGGTCAGGTGAAGAGTCAAATTTCTGAACTAAACTTGTTAATGAAGGAGACAGAGGTAAGTGACAGACTGGTTTGCATAGTTTTCATTTATTCATCTAGGCATTCATTTGTTTGTTCATGAATTCCTGACAGTGTTATGTGAACTGGGAACACATAAAAGTTGTATTAGATCTCATTCCCACTTTTCTGGGACTAGCAAAACAAATGTAATTATAATTTATAATGTTACATAATCAGTGCTATGGTAGTGAGTGAGTGATATTGGAACAGAGGAAAGAATGATTGTGGGACACATAATAAGGTATTTAAAAAAATGATAATAATGGAAATATGATAGCTTTTACAATTATCTGTATTTTAATAAACTTACAGATAGCATTTGGAAAATGTAGTATGCTACATTGCATGGCTATATATTTTATATTGCATGGATAGGATCATTTGTTTAAAATTGCAGGTGTTCCTGAGTACATGCTCTGCATTTGTTTATGGAAAGATAGTATTTTGGTGTTTGTGGCTCCATAGTTTGTGATAGCTAGAAAGTGAAGATTGCCCAAATACCTGTTTCAGTAGTGAAGTACAAATAGCAATATGAGCAAAGGATCCAATAACCACACACAACAGTGTAGAGCAATCTAGCTATAATATTGAAAGGAAGATGCCAGATGCAAAGGAGTATATACTCTATGATGACATTTATAAAAAGTACCCCAATGGTGAGACCAGACCACAAGTTTAAAATTCAGGGTAGTCATCAATGATAGGGGAGAGTTAATGTGTGTGGAGGTTTCAAGGATAACTTCTAGGATGCCAGTGATATTCTTTAATATGGATGTGATGTTAGCTGCATGGTGGTGTTTGTAAAGATTCATCTATCTTCATATTTTTTTGTAAATCTGTTTTTATATTAGGTTTCATTAATAAATAAGAAAAAGTTATAGTGAATTTAAAATATAGTTGAAGAGGGTAGGACTGGATTATTTTAAAATTCCGAATATTCTTCATTGGCTTTGATGTATACCTGTTTCTCTTCTCTATTTTAAACAAAGCTCAGAACCACTACTCCTGATCACTTTAAAAGTTATAATTGCTGGGTGTGGTGGTGCACACCTGTAATCCCAGTGGCTCAGGAGGCTGAGACAGGAGGATCTCAAGTTCAAAGCCAGCCTCAGCAAAAGTGAGGCACTAAGCAACTCAGTGAGACCCTATCTCTAAATGAAAAAGAAAATAGTGATGGGGATGTAGCTCAGTGGTCAAGTACCCTGAGTTCAATCCTGGATGCAAAAACAAAACAAAACAAGTTATAATTAAAAATACCCTGCTAGTATGGGACTGTTACTTCTCAGAAATTTGTTTTTTTTATCTTTGGTCATTTTGCCTTGTAGATTCTTTCAGTCATGCTGCCCTTCTTGTCAAAGTAAAGGGAAACCCAGTATTTGTTTTGGGGTTTATCAGTAGATAGAAAATCGAGGAACTTAAGCATCAGGTGTTCATGTTGTACTGATTTCTTAAGATCCTGGGGAAATGGGTGAATGTTTTTCTATTTTTGGCTTATCAGTAAGAATCTTCTGCAATAGAGAATTTGTCTCTGTTCTTGACTTTTACTCAGTGATCATGTTGGCACTGTCTTTGTATCTACAATTATACTTGGCTGGAAAAAAGTCTTAATCTTTGTATAATTGTATTTCTGAGTTTAATGTTGTGATATGTCATGGAAATTCTATCAAACTGTCACTATTTTCTGCCCCTTCACTTTTTTAGTAAGTGTAACTTCTGGGGTTAAGGAAACAGAGGAAATCTGGAAAAAATTTTGTTCTATTATAATTGTTGGCCAGAAGCCACTTGAAAGCACACAGTGCACTGTTACCATAGATCACTAGCTTTTAAGAATGTTCTGATAGACTTCTTTTGGTTGGTTCTATTATTATAAGTGATCTGCTGTTCACTTTCAAAATTCTGTTGAGCTTTTGAATTCACAAATGTTTTAATAAACACTACAGATGGGATCTTTTTATGACAAAGTACATAAAACTATGTATACAATGATAAGAATGTTTAGAGTGTGTTACGTTGTAGTATGCATTTTATGTAAATAATTTAGCTTTTTGTAATCTTCACAAAAAACAACAAAAAAAATTATTTTGGTGGGGCAGGGGAGAGGCTCTGGGCATTGATCCCAGGGTCTAGTACATGGTAGGCACATGCTTTAACACTGAGCTGTAACCCCAGCCAGGCTCACAGTTTTCAAAAGAGAAAAACTCATGCATAGAGAAGTTAAATAATTTATATAAGGTCACATAGCTGTCAGGATTTAAATTATTTTTAAATTAATTTGAAGAGGAGACTTACGTTTTAGTTTTGTGGCTGTGATTTAACTTTAAGAAAATTAGAGTATTATAGAAAGGGTTAAAAAAATCTCTGAGTGAATTCAAAACTCTAGAAGTGTGTTTTCTTACATATTAACATATTTAGTTAAATCAGTTCATTTCTGCTTCAGATTTCTTCCTTTATATGTAACTGAAAATTATGTAAATTTATGTAAAAAAATAAATTGTCTATTGCTGGACTTCGGAGGGAAAAAGCCTAATGAAGTACAATATTATAAAATTACAAAGTAAGTGTAAACAAAATTTGTCAGTTGTTCTTTGCTAAGTATATTTGATGCCAAACTATTGTTTTGAAAATTTCAGAAATTTTTTTTCTTTGTAATATCTGGATTTGTTCTGTTGAATTTTGATAATTTCTTCATCATAGATAAATATGATTATGTAGGACTTTGTGAGAAGACATTTGGGTTTTGCTGATGAAGTAATGGTGTAAGTAATGCTTGTTTGTTTTATAATAGTGCAATGGAGAGAGGGCTAAAGAAGAAGCAATTACACATTTTGAAAAGCTGTTTGAAATTCTAGAAGAGAGGAAATCATCTGTTCTGAGAGCAATTGATGCATCTAAGAAACTAAGATTGGACAAATTTCAGACTCAAGTGGAAGAATATCAAGGACTTCTAGAGAACAATGGGCTTGTGGGCTATGCTCAGGAAGTGCTTAAGGAGACCGATCAGTCTTGCTTTGTACAGACAGCGAAGCAGCTCCACCTAAGGTATTTTCTTTTTCTGGTACTTTAGAATCTCTTTAGTAATGTCACTCAATGCCACTGTGTATTTCCACTTTAGCTCCAGAGTGATTCAAATGCTGTGTTAATGTGAAGTAATGCCTTTCTTCATTCTTAGCATGAGTGTTGAGTGAAGTGTAAGTTTTCTTTTGTTCATCACATTGCAGATATTTAGTCTGATTTGCCTTTTTAAAGAATCATATTTATATAAGATGTATCTGTCTGCAGAATACATAAAGCTACAGAATCTTTGAAGAGCTTTAGACCCGCAGCTCAGACATCTTTTGAAGACTATGTTGTTAACACATCTAAACAAACAGAACTTCTTGGAGAATTGTCATTTTTCTCTAGTGGTAAGTCTTAGCAAAGGCAAAACATAATTTTAGTCTGAATTTACACTGTAAAGAAAAACACAGTTCTTGCCAGTGTATGCCTCTAATCTCAGTCACTTGGAGGGCTGAGACAGGAGGATTGCAAGTTGAAGACCAGCCTGTGCAACTCAGAAAGACCTTTTATCAAGATGAAATTTAAAAAGGGCAGGGTGTAGTTCAATGGTAGAGTGCTTGCCTATCTTGTACAAGTCCTGGGTTCAGTCCTCAGTACTACAAAAACAACAAAACCCCCCACAATTTTCTTTATTTTGACATTAAAAAAGCAACATCTCAGTTGCCCAGGATTATTAAGTCCTGAAGTTATATCCCATTTATGTTTTTATGCATAAAAATATATTCTATTAGCTAATATGTTTTTAAATATTGGATAAATGACATCATGTTAAGTATCCCTTTTTTAAGTTGCTTTTTAAAAAATTAAGTTTAACTTATTAACACATGGAATTTCTGGTTCAAAGTTGTATATGTTTATAATATTTAATCAGTAAATAAATCATTTCCCTACTGAGAGACTATTTGTTTCTACTTTTTCTCTATTATAAGTGATGCTGCGTTGAATGTCTATGTGTCAGGCTTTTTTGGTACACATATGTGAGTTTCTCAAGGGCAGAAACCTAGAAATGGAATCTGGCATTTAGGTGTTTATATTGCTGTGTTGTTTTTGCCGGGTCTGCCATAACACAGGGCCACAGATTAAGTGGCTTAAACAGCAGCACTTGGCTAAATGTCTAACTCCAAGGTGTTGGTAGGGTTGGTTTCTCCTTGGCTTATGGATGGTCATCATCTCTCTGTGTCTTCACTTGGTCCTCCCTCTGTACAGGTCTGGGTCCTAATTTTTCCTTTTAAGGGACACCAGGGCCCAGTATAATGACCACATTTTAATTTAATTTCCTTTTTAAAGACCTAATCTCCGAATGCAAAAAAAATTTTAAAGACCTAATCTCTGAACGCAATCACATTCTAAGACCTGTACTCCATTCTGAGGGTTAGGACTTTTAGCCTTTGAATTTGGCAGGAACACAGTTTAACCCATATTACTCGCTTAGTTTTTGTTTTGCTACCTTCTCAGGAAGATCTTCCTTTTTTTTTTTTTTTCCTTCCCACATCTTGTTTCTTTCCTGTCCCTCAGCTTCTAGTGATGGTGAATGATCACAGTCCTTAAAAAGTTTTAGTCTATTTGCTCTGCAGGTATAGATTTGTGGATTTGTACATTCAAAGGAAATTTGATTGTTAGATTACCGTTATCTCCTTGCTTTTTGAAGGCTATACTGAATCTGATATTGTTTATTATGAGTATCTTATTTTTCCAAATGGATATTTATTATTTCAAATGCTGATTCTACTTCATCCACTGTACTCCCTGCTTCTAAACTCTATACCTAAATTGTTTTTATGAGTTCAAGATCTTTCCTTTCCTCTGGATCCAAAAACTAACTAAAAGGATGAGGTTGCATGTGGATAATCTTGGATTATCCCCAGTGTATAACAAAGGCCCACTTAAAGGATGGTTGAGAATGAATAGTAATCACCCAGCTTCCTGTTAATGCATGTTCCCTTAATTTTTCCCTATGTACACATTTGTTTTTTACAAGCTATGCTTCTAGAAAAGAAATGAAAGGCTATGGATATTTATGCTATTCTGTAACTTGTTTCTTTTTTAAACTTTGGAATGTATTTTAGATAATTATTCCATATCTAATTGTGGCTGTATAATGTTCAGGTGTATAAATGCACCCTTCACAGACATATTTATATGCTGCTTGTATGTAGCTGGGGAATAAAGAGAAGAAACTCTGTTTTTCATTTCATATCCTCCTCTTGTTAACAAGTTGTGTGTGTGTGTGTGTGTATGTAGTGTATATAAGTGCATGCATGTGTAACTTTTATTGCATATTGTTCTTTTTTCTTCCAAGTTTATAAATTTAGTCTTAAAATTATACTTATACACAAATATTTAACTGTAATATTTTAATCATTGCATTTTTAGTGAAATATTAGAAACCTGTTTCCTGAAGTAAATGTTAATATACCTATACAATGAAATATTTTAGAGCAAAAGTATGGATAAAAAACCATACAAAATTGTGATTATCTTTGAATTTCCTAAATTTTTTTGTTTGTTTTCTTTAATTTTTAGTTTTCTTGGTATGTATCGTATTTGTACTAAGAAAAATTAAATTGCTTTGCAGTTCTACAGAAGAGGATATGAAAGGAAATTACATAATGTCCATTGAGAATTTGTTTGAAATAGTCAGCACTTAGATTTCAAAATATTAGAATAATCGTTCATGGGAGAATGTATTGAAAAATGTCAAGTCCAAAGCTGTTATTTAGTATAGGGAAGGCATATAGTTAAAATATTTAGTTTATCAGAATTAATAATGATAATAAATGACTGAATCAGTAATTCAGTTTTAATTCTTGTCTTTTAAATTTTTCTCATTTTAGTTATAAATACACATACTTTCATATATATATATATATATATTTTTTTTTTCTTACACATAGTATTAAAAAATTAGAAAATTCTTAGACAAGCTGGGGCTGGTGGCACACACCTGTAATTCCAGCTATTTGGGAAACAGGCAAGATGATTAGAAGATTTTAGACCAGCCTGGGAAAATTCTTGAGACCCTTTCTCAAAAATTAAAAATAAAAACGTCTGGGAATGCCGCTCAGTGATGATAGAGAGCTTGCAAGGTCCTGGGTTCAGTCCTCTGGTAGCACAGAAAAAAAAAAATGCTTGGATGGTACAGAAGTCCTTATCCAGTGCAACATTTTTACTGGGGAAAAATACAGGTTTGGAAATATCAGTATTTTAACATTGTTTTCTATTTCATAATTCTTTCAGGCATAGATGTGCCTGAAATCAATGAAGACCAGAGCAAAGTTTATAACAATGCCTTGATAAATTGGCACCACCCAGAAAAGGACAAAGCTGACAGCTATGTTCTTGAGTATCGGAAGATTAATAAAGATGAAGAAATGATGCCGTGGAATGAGATAGAAGTGTGTGGCACAAGTAAAGTTGTCTCTGATCTTGAGGAAAACTGTCACTATGCTTTCAGAGTGAGAGCTTACAAGGGTTCCATCTGTAGTCCCTGTAGCAGAGAACTGATTCTTCATACTCCTCCAGCTCCAGGTATTGGGAAATCTGAGAATTTTAAAAGGGCAGACTTGGATGAGACCTTGATTGTATCAACTAGTCAGTGTCTCTACCTAGATAGACCTACATTGAAACCACCTTTTGCTTTTAAAAGACTATAGACAAGCTGGGCTTCGTGGTGCACACCTTTAATCCCAATGGCTTGGAAGGCTGAAGCAAGAGGATTGTTGAGTTCACAATTTAGTGAGGCCCTAAGCAACTCAGTGAGACCCTATCTCTAAATAAAATATTTTAAAAGGGCTAGGGATGTGGCTCAGTAGTTAAGAGATCCTGTGCTCAATCTCCAGTACCAAACCAAAAAAAAAAAAAGGACTCCAGACAATTAGATTCTATACCCAGCTAGGATTTAGAAATGAACTGAGTAGTTGAATTTCACCTTTTCACCTGGTTAGGCTGAGAACAGGATTAGATTTTGACTGATGTCAGTCAGAGAAAAACATGAAAGGAAGACATTTGAGTTAGCAGGGCTAAATTGAGGCTAAAATAGCATCAGTGCTACTTTAAAATCTTAAAATAGTCTAATTCTATTTTTGAGTCAGTTTATGAAAAGCTTTACCATGTAGGATCTAGGTACATATTTTTCAAATTTATTGGTATAGTATCCTGAAACTGAATTTCAGTTTAATCTAATTCAGAGTTGCCTAGGTTTTCTAACTCAGTGTGATTCTCAGCACATAGGGGTGGGAGGCATATATTAGAACCACATGGATAGCTTTGTCCCCATACTCAAAGCTCCTTGTCTCCAGCTACTGTTCCTCACTACTCCAAGTTAAAATCCACTGATACTACTTATAGAGTAAAGATTTTCATGAATTAAAATGATTTACAGGCTAGTTGATGTTCATAAAGTGTGTCCATGGACGAGAGATTTTACTACTGAAGTTGCACTGAGTTTGGCTAGCAGGAAAACATTTTGCCCTGTAAGTCTCTGCCTTAGAGATTCTTCACTTGGTTTTTAGAATTCATTGCCCCTTGCCCATATTTGGTGGCTTATATACTTATATTTTTTGCACTCAGTCTTTCCTTTTTTAGACCAAAATAGAGAGGATAGCAGTGCAATATACATGCATCTTGTGACTTTAAAAAAAAAATTAGAATACATATACATAGGATTGGCTTAATTTTTTTCATTAATTTTAATAAAATCTGATAGTTTTAGTCTGAATTTGCAAGTATTAAGTAAATATTTTAGGGTTATGCTATTTCCTCTTTCTTTTCTAGTGTTTTAACTAAATCTAGAAGAAAAAGAATCTTGGACATAGTTGCTGTATTCAGTGATGTAGTTGGGGGGGGGAGGAGGAAAGGAATTGGTAAGGGTCATTGTATTTTCCTCCAAGAAAAGCCACATGAATAAGGTGACCCTTTAAATTTATTGTGCAAACCTGGGGGCTTTGTAGATAGGAAGCAGGAATAATTATGCTAGGACACTAGGCATTACCAGAAAGACTGGTTTGCCTGTATTTAGGGAATGATTTCAGCTTGCTGGCAGTAATTTTTAAAAATTGTGGTATAACAGAAAATTTACCATTTCAGTCATCTTTCTAAATGTACAGTTCACACTGAGTACATTCACAACATTGTGCAACTATCACACCTCATATCATCCCAAACTGAAAGTCTGTACTCACTGAATGATAACACCCTGTTGCCCCTCCTCCTGGAGTTGGTAATCTTACTGTCCATCTATGAATTTGCCTGTTTTCAGTACATCATATAAGTGGAACTGCGCAATATTTGTCCGTTCACATCTGGGTTATTTCGGGTTTCATTCATGTTATTGCAGGTATCAGAATTTCCTTCCTTTTTAAGGCTTGATAATATTCTGTAGTATATGTCCACCACATTTTTCCCCATTCATTGTTTGATGGACATTTGTGTTGTTTCTACATTGGTTATCATCCAGTATTATGCTTAATAGATTTAAGTTGACAAGAGATTATGAGAGTTATATTTTCACCATTCTGTAGGTCAGAAAATTAAATTTTAGGTCAAATGTAGCTAAATGTTTGAGCAGGGTTGCAAACCTAGGTCCCTCTGAACCCAAAGTTTTTTCTTTCTTCTTCTTTTTTTAATAGAAACTACATTTCTTATGTTTGCCATATTGATTCAGTAAGGAAAAGGCCTTATTAAAATAGCAAAAAATTTCCAAATTTTAAAATTTGGAATAGATATTTAAGAAAATTAGTAGATTTTTAAAAATTAGAGCTTTATAGCTATTACATAGTAGTTGCGATCATCCTGACAAACTCATACATGCATGGATATCAGTTTCAGTTCACAATCCTCCCCTTCTCTCTCTCCTGCTTTTCCTTCCCCTCCTCCCTCCCCTCTCCCATTCTTGTTCCTCTTTCTAGTAGATTCCTTTTGTTCATCTATTAATTTACATTTGATCGGTTCTTTGTTATCCTATCCTTCTTTTCCCCCTTCCCTTTATTTTACTGCAACTTTCACATATGAGAGAAACATTAAACCTTTGAGTTTCTGACGTTGGCTAATTTCACTTATCCATCCATTTATCAACACATGTCATAATTTCATTCTTTTTTTATAGCCAAGTAGACTCCATTGTATTATATGTACCAATTTCTTAATCCATTCATCTATTGACTGGGTTGATTCCATAACTTAGCTATTGTGAATTGTGCTGCTATAAACATTGGGTTGGCTGTATTGTAGTTAGCCAATTTTCGATCTTTGGGGAAAATACCAAGGAGTGGGATAGCTGGGTCATGTGGTGATTCCATCTCCAGTTTTTTGAGGAATCTCCATACTGCTTTCCAGAGGGTGGTACTTAGTCTGCAGTCCCACAGACAATGTACAAGTGTGCCTTGCCAGTATTTATTATTTTTGTATTCTTGATCATTGTCATTCTGACTGGACTGAGATGAAATCTTAGTGTAGTTTTGATTTGCATTTCCCTGATTGCTAGAAATTGTTGAACATTTTTCCATATATTTGTTGGCTATTTGTACTTATTCTTTTGAGAAGTTTCTGTTTAGTTGTTTTGCCCATTTGTTGATTGGGTTATTTTTAATTTTTTTCATTTTTTTTTGGTGTTAAAGTTTTTTGAGTTCTTTAATAGTCTGGATATTAATCTCCAGTTGAAGGAGCAGCTGGCGAAGGAGCTCTCCTCATGCTCTTAATCATTTCCTTTGCTGTGCAGAAGATTTTTCGTTTGACATCCTACTTAATCGAATTATTGGTTTTATTTCTTGTGCTTTAGGGATCTTGTTAAGGAAGTTGGTGCCAACACCTGTATGATAGAGTGTTGACCTACGTTTTCTTGCAGCAGTTGTAAAGTTTTTTGTGTAATTTGATCCATTCCAATTTGAGTTTTGTACAGGGTGAGAGAGATGGGTCTAGTTTCATTTTTCTATACATAGATATACAGTTTTCCCAGCATCATTTGTTAAAAGGCTGTCTTTTCTCCAAGATATATTTTTGGCATCTTTGTCAAATATCAGATAGCTGTAGGTTTGTGATTTGTCTTTGTGTCTTTATTCTGTTCCACTGGTCTTTGTGTCTATTTTGATGACAATACCATACTGTTTTTGTTACTACAGCTCTGTAGAACAATTTCAGATCAGGTATTGTGATATCTCCTCCTTCACTTTTCTTGCTTAGTTTTGCTTTGGCTATTCTAGATTTCTTATTCTTCCAAATGAATTTAAGAATTGTTTTTTTTTTCTAATTCTGTGAAGAATGTCATTGGTATTTTGATGGGGATTGCATTGAATCTGTATATTGCTTTTGGTAGTATGGCCATTTTGACAATGTTGATTCTGCCTTTGTAGAACATGGATGTCTTTCCATCTTCTAAGGTCTTCTTCTATTTCTTTCTTCAGTGGTCTATTTTTTTTTAGGTTATTGTGAATAGGGTCGTTTTTTCTGATTTCTTCTTGGCCCAATTACTGTTGGTTTAAGTATGTTGATTTTGTATCCTGCTACTTTGCTAAATTCATTTATGAGCTCTAGAAGTCTTTTGGTGTTTTTTTTTGTTGTTGTTGTTGTTGTTTTTCTAGATATAGGATCATATTGTTGGCAACAGAGATAGATTGACTTTTTTTCCAGTTTGTATCCCTTTGATTTCCTTTTCTTGCCTGATGGCTCTGGCTGTTTCAAGGACTATATTGAATAGGAGTGGTGAGAGTGGAAAGCTTTGTCTTGTTCCTGAATTTAGAGGAATTGTTTTAGCTTTTCTCCACTTTGTATGATGTTGGCTTTGAATTCGTCATAAATGGCCTCTATGATATAAAAGTAAGTGCTTGTGAATTCTTATTCTTATCGTGAAAAGTTTTTATTTCCCCCTAGAATTTGAAACTGGGTTTTTCTGGCTATGGTAACTTTGACTGGCAGTTGTTTCTTTTAGGGCTTGAAATGTCTCATTCCATCCCCTTCTTGATTTTGGTGTCTGAATCAAAAAATCAGAAGTGAGAGCCTTATTGGTTTTTCATTTGACTTGGTCTGTTTGGGGTCTTTGAGCCTCCTGTATGTGGATGACTATGTCATTTCTTATATGGGAAAAGTTTTCTATAACTATCTTTTGAATGTTTGAAATTGCATAATGCCTTTGGTTTGTATCTTCATGTTTCCTTCTGTCCCAGTGATTCTCAGGTTTGGTTTTTTGGTGTTCTTTCAGAGTTCTTATATATTTCTGGTCATGTTCTATATTTTTCCCTTTATTGCATTCCTGTGTACTCAAGATCATATAACCTGTCTTAAAGGCTTGCAATTCTGTCTTCAAGGGCTGAGGTTCTATTTTCTACACAGTCTAATCTGTTAGTGGTGCCTTCAGTTGAGTTTTTAATTTGACTTGTCTTTCATTTCTAGGAATTCTGCTGCGTTTCTTTTCATTGTTTCTATTCCTTTATTAAACCTGTAATTGCTCTCTTAATTCCTTCCCTAGATCGTCTAGTTCATTGAACACTTTAATAATTTGTTTTTCATGATCTTTCTGTGAACTTTAGTTCACCTCACTATCAGTGGTATCCTTTGTTGGGAAATTGTGGATTTGGGGGGAATTTTTGCCTATTTTCTCATGTTTTCCGAGGTCTTGGACTTGCACATCAGTTGAGGTGGATTCCCCTACCTGTTCTCTTGTATGTTTGTCCTTTTGTGTGTAATTATCTCATTTGATCTGGGACTTCTGTTTTTGATTTATGAGTAGATCCCAAGGTTTGGGACCTGAGGTTCCTCTCTGACTGTTCCTCTGAGTCCCTGTTGGTGGTTAGGGGCTTTTATCATCTTACTTCTTTAAATTGGAGTAATGTCAGAGAATGTTTAGTTCAGCATCAGAGAGTCCAACCTGTGAACCCTTACTGTCCCTGTAGGTTCCCAGCACCTTGCAGAATTGGATGAAATAAATAATAGTAACAACTATTGCAAACAGTACAGAGTATGAAAGTGAAATAATCAGGGCCTACTATAGGTTTAATAACTTTGAACGGGCAGTTGTTTTCTTTTAATGTTGAAATTATTCATTTAATGACCACCAATAAACAGGAATAATGGGTTCAGGAATTGTGAACAATAAAAACAATAACCATGAACTAGATCTGGCTTTAAAGCAGAGTCAATTATATAATTCACAGCAGTAATATAATTGTATCAGCATTTCTGGTATAAGGGCATGAGTTATAAAGCAGTTAGTCCTGAAATATGGTAAAAATAAAGCTAATTAGGGAGAAAGAATGTGACAGAAAGTTATAAAACAGTTTATAGTTTCAAAAAGTGAGTTAGAGAGATGCAGAAGAGATGTAGCAGGTGATTTTTGATATAGAGGAAAGAAAACAAATACAAGTACTGGGAGAGAGCACAATAGAATTTGGCCATTAGCAGGAGAAGAGAGAAAGAGAAACAAGAGAAATAAGCAAATGAAAATAATCCAAAACCAAAAAACCTGAACCTTCAAAAGACAATGCTGGGAAAAAATAATTACATTAAGAAATACTAAAAATGAGAGAAAAATAAACTAGTAAGAGTATGTATATATGTCTCTGAACGTGTCAGTACAACAGGAATTTACATGCGCGCATGCACACACAGAAAGAATAAAAATAAATTTAAAAAAATCAAAATTTAAAGAAAAATTAAGAAAGAACAAAGGAACCTGCCACTGAAGTGGTCAAAATAGTTGACCATATTGGATGGTCACTGTCTATGCCCAACAGTCTTTCTTTCCAATTCTTGGGTTGTACTGATAAAGCAAGGGGTAGAGGTTATTAACCCCTTCCTGTTTTTGGGTTGCTCTCGAGTTGCCAGTTGGAGTGGCCTAAGATTGAAACTGTTTGATATGATTCAACTTTCCTTCTCACCAGAATAAGATGGGAGGGGTTGGGAAGTACTTTCAGTGGGAGTTTTGTTCATTTGAACCAGTTTTTGTGGACTGCCAGTATAGTGTTCTGCATCATTCTGTGAGGGGGAGCTCCAGTTTGTGATACTGACATCTGAACAGGTCTCAATTGCTTTATTGGGTGGTGCCTTCCTTGCAAAGACTAGAATGACCTGCCCCTAGGACTAGACAGTAGCCAGTTTCTTATATAGGTCTGGTTTTCAGGACCCTCCCAAGAAATCCATTTGTGGGGCAGGGGGGCTGATCCTCCACTCACTGCTGCCCAGGTGCAAGCCTTTCTGGAATTAGTCCCTGAGCGTATTCACCCCATATGCTCATATTCCCAGTCTGCTTTAGTTGGTCATGTGAGCTGCTTCACATGGAGGCGGTATGGCAAGGAGAAGCAGGTCTGGCTCCTTCCCCTTTGCCCTTATGACTTTAATCCCCCGCCCATTATGTCCCATCAGGCCCAGTCTAGGTCAGTCAATAGACACCCACTGGGATCTTGTGGCTGTTTGTTGTTGTTTCTCCTGATCTCCTGCCCTGTAGTCATCATTGTGGCAACATCACCCCAAGATGACTCCTGCTTCTTGAGTGGCCAGTTGAGATACGGAGTGTGCTTTTCAAGCACTAGCGTGCAGTGCAGTTTCTGGATCAGCTAAGAGTAGGCAGCATTTTTAATCTCAGACCTTTCTGTACCTAAACTGTGTCATGTCCCTATTTCCCCAACTCAATTGGGGCTAATCCACACTGGCAATGCCCATGTGGCAGTCAGGCGTGCTCTTTGTTCTTCATTTATTGTACCCATACTTCTGAGTCTGTAAGCCACTTTGTCCAATATTGAATTTTAGTGAAATCCCTCTTTCAACCACCTCTCTGCACACCTGCTTGCTTTGCACTACTCTGCCATCTTCCAGGCCTCATGAGTAGATGTTTATGAAAATGCAGTGCCTCTTAAGGATAAAAGAACAGATCCAGTAAGTGCAAATATCTATGATAGACTTGATGCCTCTTTTCCAAAGAGGTGCATTCATAATTTTCACATACATGAAAATACTTTCTCCTGCTTTTGAGATTTCTGAAGATTTTCAGATATAGAGAATGTATTGGAAATTGTTGGTAAGTTGGGGTTTTGGGGTGACATAGTTGTCTGGGTGGCATGACACTTTTCCCATTTCTTTTCAGTCATCTCTGTTTTCAAAACTTATTGAATTCAACCTTAAATCATAGAAATGCTAATAAATAGTTTGCAGGCTAGTTTTACATTAACTTTAAGCTTTCTTTAGTTTTCAGTTTCCTGTTTGATGAAAAATGTGGCTATAATAACGAACACCTCCTGCTGAACTTGAAGAGAGACCGGGTAGAGAGTAGAGCTGGATTTAATATTCTGCTGGCCGCGGAACGTATCCAAGTGGGTTATTACACAAGCTTAGACTATATCATTGGAGACATTGGAATTACAAAAGGAAAACACTTTTGGGCCTTCCGTGTGGAGCCATATTCATACTTGGTGAAAGTGGGAGTCGCTTCCAGCGATAAACTACAAGAATGGCTCCATTCTCCCCGGGATGCAGTTAGTCCAAGGTAGATCTTTTATTGATTTAGAATGTGATAATGTTTTTGAAAGTAACTATCCTTTAAGGCAAGATAAGCCTGAAAATAGACTTGGGTTTATCTCTTCTACTTGGAGTATATATTTCTTAGATTCAGGTACTTTGGTTGTGGTTGGGTGGCTGGCTTAGGAAAAGAGTTAGGTTATCTCTCATTGAATAATGAGAGCAGCAGTAAATTTTTGATGCTCCAAGGATATAATCTTGTTTTAGATGCTTTGATTATGATATCACCTCACAGTTTTAAATTTTGAAAGTCTCATACATACCTTAATACATTTTATGATAAATATTACCCACATATATAGAGAAATGCCTCTAATTGCCATACTTCATAGTTGATACAAGTTGTTCTTTGATTATGGGACCCAGTTTCTTTAAGCTTTCCCATATGTCCTTAACAAAATTGGGTCATGTTATAGACATGTTTTATAGCTAAGAATTCTGATTTCTTAAGTGATTGAATAATGGAGATTGAATGGTTTAGTTTCTTTTGGATGGGATAAAATTGTTGTTGCAGTGTGATCTCAAATATATGAGATGCTAGCTATATAGGTAAAAAAAATGAAAGGATCTCAGGAGGCTGAGGCAGGAGGTTAAGCTCCCCTGGGCTCAATCCTTGGTACATAAATAAATAAATAGATAGATAGATAGATAGAAAAATAGATAGATAGATAGAAGAAGGGATCATATACCAACATTTTTTTCTATTTTTATTGTTTTATAATTGGGGGAAGATTTTTTGATGTAGAAAATTTAATTAGGAAATAGAGTTCTCAAGGAGAATGACACATGCTTTTTTTTTCCCCTATGTTAGTTTGAAGTGCCCATTTATTCCATGGCCTGGTAATTCCTTGGATTAGGGCATACATCTTGCCTTTGTGTTTTCTTATATATGACTGTGCCATGGATATTTAATCTTTGACCATTTGCTTCACTCCCCTCCCCCTTATTTGTTAAATAATTTTTAGTTCTCACTTGTGTGTACATATAGGTAAAATGCATGATGTTTATGACATGGATTTGGGGGTTGATTATGCTTTTATATATTTTGTGAAAATGTTTTGAAGATACTTGAAGACTTAATGGATAAAGGTACAGATACTGTGTTTGTGTATTATGTTTTAGATATGAGCAAGACAGTGGGCATGACAGCGGAAGTGAAGATGCCTGTTTTGATTCTTCACAACCTTTTACATTAGTTACTTTAGGCATGAAGAAATTTTTTATACCCAAGTCACCTACTTCTAATGAACCTGAAAATAGAGTTCTTCCTATGCCAACAAGTATAGGGATTTTCCTGGACTATGATAAAGGCAGAGTGAGCTTCTATGATATGGATCATATGAAGTGCCTTTACGAGCGCCAGGTGGACTGTTCTCATACGATGTATCCAGCATTCGCATTAATGGGCAGTGGAGGAATTCAGCTTGAAGAACCCATCACAGCAAAGTACCTGGACTACCATGAGGACATGTAGTTGAAACATCCAGTGTGACTGGGATGGAAAATGTTAAAAAGCAATGCCTTGATGTTAGCCTTTGTAACTAATTAGACACCACCCAAGACTTGGTCACACATTTGTTTGTAGTGCCTGAATCTTCTTAAAAGACGGAAAACCTAAACAGTCTCGTGTCTTCCATGTTACTTACTGTTCTGCCTTTCACAAACAACAGAGTGAAGGCATTCTTTCCTGGCTAATACTGAATGGTTAACTTTGCAACTGAATCATATTTCTCTTTATGTATAGGGAATCTAATTTATTTATATCAGCTGGTATTGCTAATACTTACATTCCTTTTTGGGGTGGTGGGGGAGGTGTACAACACTATTATGTTTTTTGTGTTTGCTGTTTCATTTTTATATCATGGTTATGTCTTAAGATAGTTTTAAATGGTTGTGGGTAGAAATGAGTAGTAAACAGTATGTCTTACATTTGATTTTAATAACAAAGTTATATATAGATAAAAAGGCCATAAAAATGGTAACATATTTAAGTGGAAAATTATATATTTCAAAGTGTATTAATTGTATGTAGCCTGGAAAATGAGCACTGCTGTTATTTTTTTCCTTAAGACCACAGTGTATTGATCAGGACATCTAAAAGAGTTCCTTTAGCTATAAATGCCCATTAACTGGCATGTGTAGTAAACATGGTGTCTGATAGAAAGCCATGAAATTTTTCACTCATATAATTTTTTTTCAGAAAAAAATTATCTTGAGTTTTTCCTCACTGTCTGAAAATATTTGTGTTTACATTAAATAATTACTTTTCAGAAATATTAGTTAAGATGGACTGATATTGCCGTCATGATTCTTTTGTCCCTCCTATTGTGTCTTGTGATTTTCATTTTTTGACACAACTATACATATCAGGTTTTTCTGGTTTGTTAACAAGTTTGAAAAGTTTATGATATGTTTTTAGTAGCATTGAATTATATTGCAAAATGTGGAGTACTAATTGTTCATTTGTATGGCATTTTCTATGGTTCATTGGTAACAAGGAACTAAACCCAAATTTAATTGTTAAGGAATACTAACTAAAATCATAATGACTATGTATACCCTTTTAAAATTTGCATTCTTTTAAATTGAAGAATTACATTTTCTCCCAATTAGATGTTAATTTTTGAAAGATGTTCTTTTAAATAGGTGATTTTTTATTTAAACTGCCTATTTTTTTTAAGTTAAAATGTTTAGAAACTAAGACTGCTAAATATTTAGCACAGATCACTTATGGAATGCTATTGACATATTTTAATGAAGTAACCAAAACTCCATGGGATCTATTTTTTATTTTTATTTTTTAGTGGAAATCTCTTATTCAGGCTAGTAGCACTGCGTAAGTTCCTCTCATCGCACCAAACTACATAGAAAATATAGTGGAGAATTTAATAGTCTTTGTTACTTTCCCATTATGAATAGCACTTTATCTCATAGGCTCAACTAAGAAAATATGCAGTGTTATGTGGATCACTGTGCAATGAAGCTGCTGAAGTTGTACGTGCAGTTAAGTTTGACACTCTTAAGCCTTGTGTAAGCACATATCACGTAGGCATTTTTAAATATAAAGCTTTAACAGGAATAAGAAAGCTGTTTCAAACATTGTATAGTTATATGTAAATTGTTCAACAGAATTTCATTTTTAATAAAAATTTAAAAAGTCAAGTGTAATTATTCAGATTTGTACTTCAGGAATTATATGGAAAATTGAAACAAAATATTAAAACATGGATAGCTGCATGTAGTAACAGAGCTAAATTTTTGTATGAAATTATTTTGGATGGTGGTTTATTAGCTTTAATCCTCTTGTGGGAGGTGATCATGAGAAAAGATTAACATGAAATTAATGTATATCAATTGTTTAGTTGATCAAGTTCTCTAATATTTCTTTTCTGATTCATGGTAGATTAGGTTTTGCCTGGATGAGTGACCGTTTACTTCACATTTGTGCTCTTGAATTATGGGGCTCTGATAGTTGGGTTCAGTGGTAGATCATAAGTTGTTACAAATGCTTTTGATTGTTTTAATATTTTTAAAAAGTAAATTCAAGGCTTACCCCTATGATATTGTATAATAACTTAATTCTCATATCACAGTTCCTTTAAAAAAAATAGTAGGAGTCTCTACAATCTCTATCTCCTTTTTGGGATTAAACATAATCTGGACCTTTTAAATCTTTAGTCAGGTACTATAATCGGTTGGGTTCTGGGAGTATGTTCCATGTGGGAATGTTATCAAACTTACTGCTGTAGAAAATTGTGAGAATTACTGTCATAGGCAAGAATACTTTAAAGGAATTATGTTCTCCAATTTAAAGAAGAGTTTATCTAATATTTATGGAAACATTCTGACAAATTGGAGTTTTTCTTGGGATTATTTTGCTTTAAAAAATAAACTCAACAGAATTTAGTTTTTTTAAAACTTAGGTTTGGAACTATTTCATTCATTTTTATGAAACCCTTAATTCCTGCTTTCTGTAGACATTGAGCTATATGCTGGGTATAAAGAGAACAAGGCAGTTTATCTAGGTTCCTTCCTTCATGAAATTTAACTTCTAGCATGGAGAGAAGACCAAAATAAGGAAGGTCCTAGAGAATGCTTGACATGGGAGCTAACATTAGATTTGGTGATGAGGGAAGCCCTTCAAAGGAGAATGATAAAAGTTTAACACCAAATTGCTAAGAAGTGAGCCAGGACAAACTGAAGCAAAGAGCATTACCAGTAGAGTGGACAAGAACAAAAGCCTTTGGGATGGTGAATTCTTTAGCGTTCTAGCAGGTAATAGAATTCTCCCCAGATGGTTCAAATGAAAAGTTGTAGAAAGTATTGCTTAACTATATGGGCAATGAGCAGGCACTGGAAAGACTAGCCATAGCCTGTAGCCACTACTGCCTTTAAAGCCAAAAGGACAGGGGTGAAGTACTGCTACTGCTACTTAGATCTTAGTGGGAATTAGGGTCTTTTTCTTTTCCACAGTTTTTAATTGATGCCTTATAGTTGTACATAATGATGGGATTTTTGTTACATATTCATACATGTGCACAGTATAACGATATAGTTTGGCCAGTATTTGTCTCCATTAGTTTCTTCCTCCCCACTTCCCACCTCTTAGTCCCTTTTCTCTACTGATCTTTCTTTGATTTTCATGAGGTCCTTGACCACTGCCCTTCTTTACTTTTTTTCTCTCTAACTTCTGCATATGAGAGAAAACATGACCCTTGACCTTCTGGGTTTGGCTTATTTCTCTTAATATGGTCTCAAGTTCTATCCATTTTCCTGCAAATGGCATAATTGCATTTTTCTTTTTGGCTGAATAAAATTCCTTTGTGAATATATGCCACATTGTGTATCCATTCATCCATTGATGGACACCTAGGCTACTTCCACAGTTTGGCTACCGTGAATTGTGCCGCTATAAACATGGATATGCAGGGGCTGGGGTTATGGCTCAGTGATAGAGTGCTCGCCTCGCACGTGCCAAGGCCCTGGGTTCAATCCTCAGCACCACATAAAGTTTTAAAAAATCATGGATATGCATGTATCACTGAAGTATGATACACTGTAGTATGAGTGACTAATTCTTTAGAATAAATACTGAGGAGTGGTATAACTGGGTCATATGATAGTTCCATTCCTGGATTAAAAAAGGATATTTATGATCTGAAGTGTCAGAACATATGCAAATAAAAGGAACTGACTTGAAAACTCAGAAAGCTGTGCAACTTTTCCTTTAGCCTTCTGTATTTTTTCCTTTTTAAATATTTTTTTGGTTGTAGATGACACAGTGTCTTTATTGCTGAGAGCCATAGCCAAGTAGGAATGACGCATGGCATTTTGGGTTGAAAGGTGACCCTGCTCAGGGATTAGGGTGGCTCCAGGTTTAGGGTGGATCCTGCTGGGAATAGGGCGGCTCCAGGATTAGGGCGGATCCCTGCTGGGAATAGGCTGTATCCTGCTGCCTCAGGCGCCCACTCCTTTGGAGTTCCCGTTGAGTTCTCGCTGGGTTCTGAGAGAATTGGTGGAGGCAGGGTTTTTCGGGAAGTGTGAGTAGAGTGTCGGTGAGAGTTCGGGAATAAAGAGTTGCTGTTTGAATCTACAAGGCTTGTGTGGTGGCTCGGTTATTTTGTGCCCAGCCAGACTGCGGCATTTGGTGGCCCGTACGGGAACACCTGAAGCTTGGAGGTAAGTGAAATTGCTCGCCCCTGAAGGAGAGGGAAAGAATGGGTGACCATTTCAAAAAACAATGTGTTCTTGTTTTGATTTATTTTGTTTTTATTTCAAGTTGCCTGTTGTTTTTATTTCAAGTTGAACTTTCTCAGGCAAACTGGGGAAAATGGTTGACTCAAGGTTTGAAGTTGTTCACCCCTGAGGAAGAGAAATTGTTAGAGGAAGGAGGCACCCAAGTAAGACCAAGAACAGTTAGGGCATATATTGATACAATACAAAAATGTAGCCCATGGCTGCTTTTTTTTTTTTTTTTTTTTTTTATTTTATTTTATTGTTGGTTGTTC